TAAAGAAACACTATGCTGTTCTTGAATTGCCAGCCTTGCCCTCTGTATTCTAGGCTGTTTCTCATTTGAACACTGTTAATTGTTGTTTATGATCATATCGAAGGTCTCTGAAAATGTCAGCTCAGACTGATATCCCTGTGTCCTCAGTGCACACACAGAGCAGAACAGCTCACAGCTTTTCATGAACTTTTCTGTTCCTTTAACGTCACCATCTCTTTCGGGAATGGGAGAAGTGAGATGTGACAATGTAAAGTGGCTCTTCCCGACATCATGCAAACTGCCTGTGACAGAGCTGGGAAAACTGACCCAGAACATCCCAGTCCCGGGCTAGAGCTTCCAGCCCATCCTTCTGCGCTAGAGCGCAGGCTGGGGAGAGCCAGGTCCCAGAGCCCTGCTGAGTGTCAGCGGCTCTCGTTCACCTCCTGCGCCAGGCTGAGCACGCCGGGCCAGTCTCTTCCCAGCGCTGCAGGAACACTCCTGGCTGGGGCTGTTCCGGGGGATCTGAGCGTGGTGGGTGCCCCGGGCTCAGACTTGGGGAGTACAAAGCCAGTTCACCTGCTGGCCTGGCAGAGCAGGCAGGAGAACCGAAACACCCCTTCGCTTCCAGCAATAGAAAAATCCCATGACTTTATCATAAACAGCTCTTCAGCTGAAGCAGGTAGGGATTCGAGCGTGGAAATCTGGCATGGAAATGGCCTTCCATTACACTCTCGTCTCTGAGCATTCCCACGAAAAACTGCTGTTGATCGGCGGACGGCTTGAGAAGCGTCGCCTTGCGGAGGTTGCAGCGCTGCCTGCACAGCGAGGCGCTGGGGGTTTTGCTGCCCGTGGACGCGGTTCGTTCCCGTTATCCAGGCTGCGACGGGCAGGGCAGAGCGTTCGGCGCTGCCCTGGGGCCGAGGCACTCGGGGCTGAGGCACTCGGGGCTCCGGCGGCGGGCCCCGGGCCGTGCTCGCCTCACGCCGCCATCGCCGGGGCCGGGGCGCCATCTACGGGCGGCGGCGGCGCTGGGCCGGGCGTGAGGGGAGCCGGGCACGGGGTTTGGCAGAAACACGTAATCAATAGGGTGGGAAGAGACCTTGGAGGTCGAGTGCAGCCTGTGACCGAACACCACCTTGGCACTACACCATGGCACTGAGTGCCGCGTCCAGCCTTTCCTGAAACACTCCAGGGCCGGTGACTCCACCGCCTCGCTGGGCAGCCCAGTCCAATGTCTAATCACCCTTTACGTGAAGAATTTCTTCCTAAGGTCCACCCTAAACTGCACCTGGCACAGCTTGAGACTATGTCCTCTTTTCCTGTTGCCTGGGAGCACAGCCCGACCCCCACCTCACTAAAACCTCTTTTCAGGGAGTTACAGGAAATCCTGCTGGCCTGGAGACCCCGGGGCGGCTGTGCCCTGCCAGGCTGGGAGCGCCCGGAGGCCGATGGGGTGCAGGAGGTGTTGGGGCACAATGTGACTGCTGCTCAGGGTAAGCTCATCTCAGTCCCCCGTACACCTGGCCCCAGAAAGCTCTGGGGGCTTATTGGGGATCACGGGGGTCACTCTTTTTGACTTTACCCGTCATACTTTGCAAAATGCATAGCTAACTGTGATACCTAAAGGGTGTGGAAGATTGGGCGGTATCACTTTGAATCCAGTGGTCAGCCAGGTTAAGTGGAGCATTGTCAGTCTGAAACTTTGCTAACCTGCATCTCAAAAAGTATCATCAAATGGCTCTTAAAATTGAAATTATTAATGCAGATACACTGGAGTTTTTGTTTGCTCTGTGAGTCCTGGAGCCTTTTAGAGATGCCTCAAAGACTCTGAAGCCCATGGTGGTGTTCGGTCATAGGTTGAATTCAATGATTTCAGAGGTCTTTTCCAACCTAATTGTTTGTGGGATTCTGAGATGCCCTGTGGCACTCGAGAGGCTCCAAGCCAGTGTCAGCTGGCTGGGCCCAGCTCAGGTTTGTGGTTAGTGACTGCTCACAGCATAGGAGTGGGGGGACACTTTCAGCTCTGCTGAGATGGAGGGAACAGTGAGCGCTCCACACTCACTGCTGTGTGTTGTAGTAGAACTGCAACAGGAGAGAGGGCCAAAGAAAGGTACTCTTAGGAATACAACCCAAGTTAATTACTGTGGTTGCATTTAGTGACCACAAACAGGACAGGGAATGCAGCAGAAGGGAAAGCAGGAACAGAGTCAAAGCCCATTCTCTCTTCCTATTGGCAGTTCAGGAAGCTGTGGAGCTGCTAAGCCTTGCAGAGCAAATCGAGTTCTCTAACTTGTTCTGGTGCAGAATTTCAGTAAAGGTGGGCTCTGGTGAGCAGGGTTAAGTGTACATGCTGCACTGCTGAGCCTCGTAAATCCGTCATACGGAACTGATAACTGACAAAATAAGCACAGTCAACATAGCATGCTGGGGAGAAAAGCAGTGCATACTCCTACATTAGCTGATGGGTTGAAATAGCAGTTTTGTTTTCATTCCTCCCCCCGTTTAGTTGCTAAAAACCCACCACCCCTCAACAGTAAAAACAAAATGTGCATAAAGCAGGGATAGTGGTTTACAAAATGTACTTTGGTCCTTCTGACTAATAGTTTAATTCCCTGCAAACAGGCAAGATTTTTTGCCTTTAGGAGGTGGAACTAGTTGTGGTCATTTACTGTCTTTGTCAAAGCAAAGTTATTGATTGTACCCAATTGCTCTGAAGCAATTCATAAACAGGAAATACTAACACAGCAACCAGTAGCTTTTTGCTCAGAGCAACATCTGTGCTCCAAACAGCTTAGAGTAATACAAAACAGTACAAATCTGCTGATAACACAGTGTCAAATGGTAAATCTGGATCAATGTTGCATATATCCAAGATTAAGCATTTCTGAGTCAAAGCCTTCAACTGCATTAAAAAAGAAATAGGCCTTAATACTAATCTTGGTATAGTGGTGTTAGTGCAGAGTTACTTTGCTGATTTCAGACATTACATCATGTTTATTAAACGGTAACTGAGATGACTGAGGTACATCAGCCTGAGCTCTAACTCCAACAGACATAGTTGTCTTAGTTCATTTTTCTACCAAGTCAAGTCACCCTTGTAATTGCTTAGGAAAGACTGGAGGGGCACAGAATTTATCCTTGACAAGGTTTCCTTGCCAAGGAAACCTCCTGTAAGCTGACTACATGTTTGAAAAACATACCTGTCTAGTCTAACCACATGAGAAATGTCAGATAAAGGCTAGTAAACATATCAAGACAAAACAATTACACTTAAATATGAATTTTATTTCTAAGGTTATTTTGCTATAAATTAATAATGAGAATGAGGACATATAGTAAAAGCAGCAGTAGATAGGGAGTGCACAAGAACGTAAAGAATCTGGGGGAAACATTTGCATGCTGCCCTCCGTGACTGACACGTATCTTAGTCTCATGTTGAGGAGAAAAAGCCACAAACACATCTGAGGAACACGGGTGTGAATTTTCTCCTCTACTCAACTCGCTTAGTTGGTTCTATCATCTACTGAATCTTCACTGAAGAACAAACAAAACAAAGCCAGTGTTGGATGACATTCAGGGTAGTTCCATCTAGACACAGTTTGGAATGTGCTTCGGCCTGGGAAAGATGTGTCTTTGCTGGAAGTCAGCGCAGTTGCTCTCTACAGAAATGCTTCCCACTCCCTCCTCTCTAGTTCATAAGCCTTTACCCACTCACTAGAAGAGGCTAGCTCTCTAGCCACCCAAGTTCATGCAAAAGAAGCCAATAGCTATGTTTTCACATGTAACTCAGAATTTGGGAGGGGGCTCTGGTTCACCTCTTTAGTGTGGTCAGACTTATCAGAAGACTGAGCCTTCCTACGCCCCTCTTGGGAAGCCTGGCTTTGTCCAGCTGTCCATAACTGAAAGCCCAAAAGTAACTAGTCACAGATGACTTGTGACCTCTGTAAGCACTGACACAGAACCCTGAACGGCCTGTCACTGCTATACAACAGATTTATCCTTACCCCAGAGTGCACACTGCACAAAAACAGTGGTACCTGTGGACCTCCCACAGCTTTCGGGGGGTCAAGTATTGGGCACCAGGTAGGAAAGCTTGTGCTTGGATACTATGCAGATATAACTGGAATTACAGAGTCATGAATAGCACCATTCAGAAACAAATATCATTTCAATCTGCTTTGAAAATGATCTTGCCATGCCTGCTGCCTCTTCCCATCACTATGGTACCACCTGTCTGCAGAAAGAACCTTGCATGGCAGTGCCTTCAAACCCCGAATCCCCTCTGGCCCTGCTCCTTCAGCTCACACCAGCTGCAGATACATGAAGTACTGGGCTGGGCAGAGACAGGCTACAGAGTCATGACTGTGTATCCAGCCAGACATTATTCCAGATCTGACCAAACCTCCACTCTGTTCCTGAGCAACAGGAGACACAGCCATGTCTTCAGGAAGCAAGTCTGAGCTTCAACACGCAGTGACCAGGTGGCAAGCCCTATGCTGTGGCTGTGTGCACCAGGACATTGCCACTTGTGTTTCTGCAGGGAGATCAGAAAGGCTGCAAGCACCTGCATTTAGATAACTGTGATCTTGAATTTATGCTCTAGCACAGTTTTGTACATTTGCTTTCTGGCTTCTAAACGCCTATGCTACTAAGATGGAAAAGTAGCTCATGACTTTTGTATAAAAGCAGCCTTTTGTTTCCAAGATGGAACTAGATACTTTGGCTTCAATTTGTAATGTGTTTTTCCATTTAGAAGGGATAAGGTTATTTTTTTAATGGAAAATTACTTCAATTTGAACTTTAAAAAAGATAATTTCTTACTTTGAATTCAACCCAGGAATGTTTTGCAATCAACAGTCTTTATTTTATATACTTCAGTTGAAGAAACTGGGGACCTGGACAGAGTTATCTCCTGAAAGCACAAGAGACATGTTCCCCTGCTGTGATCATCAGCTCTTGCGGAAAAAAACCACCAAAACCCCCCAGATGATTCACTTTGTGTGACCCCTTCCCAATCATCACAAAATTAAAAAAAATCACATGATGTTCAATTGTTTTATTCTCCCCCACTCCTCACAAGTTAAGAACCACAGAGGGAGAAGAGGTAAAGATATTCTGCAAAACTCGTTATATTGCAAAGCGCAAACGAAACAGCAGCATAGACTTGTAATCAACTTCAAGGTTATCTCAAGGATTAGAAAAGGTAGATGTTTGTTCACTTACATTCCAGTCACCATCCCTTTCTGACCTCAAGGGTACCAGGCCTCTAAGAGACCTTCAGTACTGTACCCCAATTTCTTTTGGTTTAGACTAGAAATAAGAAACTTCCACTTTAGTCCTCTTTTGCACCTCCAACAAGTCCTTTCAGTACACCCCACTGGCAGAACATGTGCAGCTGTGTTAAACTGTGAAAGGACATGCATGCACATTGGTGTACAGCTCCAGCCAAAGTCTCCTGAAAGCAGTTTACATTCCCTGCATTAGGCCCACTCTTAATAATGCAGCCAAGACTACATCTGTCTGTTTACTTCCAATGATTCCAAGTGGTTTAGTTGGTCCTAAGAGTCACGAAAGCTTAGTGCTTCCCCTGGCTGCTACCCAAACCCTTGTCCAACCCTCTGTTGCTTAAACAGGTAGGATGGAGCCCAGAGAGCTTTAGGATGAAACGGAAAAAGTTGGGACTTGATCTAAATTTATATGGGTGCAAGTTCTCATCTATTTTCATCTTCCCTGACATACCTGAAACCCCGTGAATCATAAGGAAATTAACCTATTTCTGAATGAAAGCATAAGAAAGACTTAACATTAAAACAATACCAATACAGAAAGCTAAAAGTGCAAGTATAAAAATAAGTCCTCTTACTCTAAGAACTCAACTTAGGCACCCTGCCTCTTTCACTTGAATAAGAAAGCAAGTGCATTTCTTCAGAACTTTCTTTCCCCTGCCAAGCACAGCTCAGCATGGATTATAACAGGATGGGTAACAGGCCACGTAACACACAAACCAGCTGCACTCCAGCTGACAGTCATAGCACAGCAGCCTGCAGGGGCACACTGTGTGAGGGAACCAGGCATACAAACAAAGGTTCCTTGGAGTGTTTTCCACAACAAGTCATGAAGGGGAGAGGAGACCTGCTGAATGTGAGGGGGAAGTGTGCACAGAACAAATCCAGGCTCAGCTGTGCTCAAAACTAGTTGCAAACAAGGAACCTGGTTAAGGAAACCTTGGCGGCTGCAAGGCAGACACCCCATCCTAACCCTGGCAAGGCAGCTGATATCAAAGTGCCTGTGTGCAAGGACTACTTGTGCTGCTAGTCTCTGCCCTCCTGACTGTTCCTGCCTGCAGAGGAGCTGGTAGCCCCAACAGGGCAAGGGTTGTCCACATTAGTTCTGCTCCTGCAGACTCTGCAGAGGGACAGCAGTGAGGAGCAGACACTGCACCATGGCCTCTTCCTCAGCAATGCAGCTGGTCTGAGGCGACCGCTCTACAGACAAGGAAGACCACGTGCAAAGTAAAGATCTGCTGCTTCCATCTGACCAGAGAAGAGTGGTTCAGGATAAAGAGGGAAGTGCAATAACAAACATTGGTCTTCCTTGCCACTGGTCATTCACATTTCTGGGAGAATAAAAGAACTGAGGAGTGCTGCCACCTCTTAGTGGTTTGCTTATGTGTTCTCAAAGACAACCTCACCTAGATGGTGTGAGAGGCAGGTACAGGACTCCACCTAAGAAAACACACTACCATCTGCAGGCAAGTCTGAAAACAAAACCATCCTCAAGCACGGCAGACTACCTAACGCTAAGGAGTTTCTGCTGAGCTGTAGGTTTGTCCAGGGAATGTTTAGAAGCCAGTAGTATGTATATACTGATGCAGGGCTCCTGTAAACCTCTTGTTTGGACCAGATCTTAGACCACCCAAAAAATCCATTTTTTTCTATGGCGTTTACAATAACAGTCTGTTCATAAAGCAGGTGACTGTTGACTGCTACCATGTGACATTGGTGCTCATATTGATCCTTATAACTCCAAATATCAGAATTCAAGAGCAGCACATGCCATCTCCAATCACTTAACTAAATGGTGCCTTTAAACTCTCATTAAGACAGTTAAGAATCAGTTATTAAGATGTCACTACTGAAAAATAACTATTGCATTTCTTAAAGTTTAACAGTAAACAACATTGCCAATATATTATTGCACACAATAAAGGTTTTTGGAACTACAGAGATAAGGAAGGGGTAACCTAGAAGACCCAGAACAATGATCCCAGGGCCATTCCAGTTGCTGCTCCAGCAAGCATTCCCAGAGCAAGATCTCCATCGCTGTCACGGTAACGCTCTCGAATGATGACATGGTTTGCAGGAGGTTGGCCATAAGGTCCTAGGAAATAAGAGATTGTTAGGAGGAGGGCAAAAGAAATGTGTATCTAAATACCATGCATTGCAATTCACCCTCTTCCTTCAGCTGCACACTACAGTGATGACACTACAGAGGTAGAATCCATTTCTGCTTTGGATTCAGCCTTCGCATTAATTAAATAAGTCCAGGGGCCTAGCAACACTTCTAGCCTTGTAAGGGCTTAATATCTGTGAGGAAAACTCATCACAAATGTAAAACAACATTGTTCTGCAAAGAACTTATGAATTGCTTGTATCATACTATCAAACACTTTGTGGATTTAATGAAAGAAATGGGTCTAAAAACTTATTCAGCCTTGAAGTTACAGCAAATAGAGTAGTTCCCCCCCCCAAAAAAAAGGAAATCTTTGGCATCTCTTAAGCCAGCAGTTTATCAGAAACTGTGTATCAGTTATTTACTCTACATTTACTGCCTAGTGCTTCAATTCACCCTTCACATCCTGGACTGATCTGTGGTGTGGTGACAGCTGCTACATTTCTTTTCAAACTGGCCCAGTAGTAAGGAATTACCTAAGACTCAAGAAACCACCAACTGATCGTTGTTCTGCACCAGACTTGTACAAGCCCCACCTGTCATGTTTTCTGACTTAGCTCCTACCTGCAAATTAAACATAAGAGTACTGCTCTCCCTTCCAGACGTTTCAAGAATATTAAATACTCTTGAAAATCCCACAATGTTTTTTTGTAACAAATTGTGAAGAAATCCAACTAATACAACTGGAAAAGGTTTTCACTGACTCTCAACAACGCATGACCTCATGAGAAGGATTATGTCACTTCAGAGAATGAGCAATGGAGCCCAAAGTACAGGGGTTTAAGTTGGTTGCTGGGGTGAACCTGTATCCTAAGTTTTAGTTGCAGTGACCCTGGTGAAGGAAAACATCAAGCCTTGGTTACTGTGCCCAACCTGTAACTAGTACCTTAACACAGCAGACTTGCAAACTGTTCAGTAGAGTTACTGCTTGATGCTGCATCGTTATTACACAGGTTTCTGAGCCTTGATTTACTTGCTGGAAATTATTAAAAATGGTTCTTGGGACTTTCAACAAGCTGTTGCTTTTCAGCTGCAGAGAACCTACAGAACCCACCTTCCTCTGTGTTTGCATGTATATATTCTGTATCTTTGGACTTCACTAACTTAGATGAAGAAAACTTTAAAAGTTTTAGACTGATGCACCTCCCTTGTAATAACAAATGGAAAAGGCAAGTGAAATAACCTGACAAATGCCAAATGGAAAACAACATCTCCCTCGAAACTGGAAAAAAGTCTCAATAGATATTCTTGTTTGCGAAGCCAGATCATAAGCAATTAGTAAGTTAAATCTCATTTACATTACCATGCTATTCTAAAGCTCCAATTCTGTAGGAACGGGTCTCCCTATGCAAAACTAACCCTAAATTAAGGCAACTACAATTAAAAGCACACCTTACAATTTTACTCTTTCCTCCTGCTACTGGGCTTGAAAGCTATATAAAAACCTGAACAGAGTAACAGAAGATTTCACAAGGCTGAAATGCTGCCTTATAGCAATTCCAGCACGTGGGGAAGGAACCAGCTACAATCTTGCTTTGGGAGTGGATTTACCTTTGAAACTTGCATTTAAATAATGAAGCTAGGTATAAGAGCAACAAATCAAATGAATGAAAAGCTCCATCAATGGAGTACTGAATCACGGAATCACATCTTGTTCTGGCTCTTGTACCTTTCCTTAGGAAACATGCTAGTTAGAGAGTTCTGTGTACTTCAAAGAGAGTTTATGAAGTAATTTAACTATGCTTTGATCATAGAGGGAAGGTTAAATCCCTTAATACCAAATTTCACTGCACTTGGATTGTTGTGAAAGGGTGAAAGAACTTGTTTCCAGTTACAAGTTCAGGTTTCTTTCTTTGTACCCCTCTGCTGTGCAGGAGTGGTGGCTGGTAAAGGATGGTGATTAACAGAGTTAAAGCCAGAAAGACTGACTCAAATGGGTTCTATGGGAAGGTGAAGGATGTGGCTGACACTGATTACCTTGGTATGGATACTGATAGGGAACAGCATAGGCTTGTCCATTGGAGGTGTAGAAGAGCTGAGGCCCCACGGGGGGATATGCACCGTTGTACTGATCGTAGCCATAGCCATAAACCTGGGGAGATTAAACATGGCCATTACACAAGTGTTCCTTGCTGTGTAGCCAGTTAAGCATATTGTTCACCTTGCCTTCCTTTCTAATGTAGTTAGAGGTTCACTAAATTATCCAGTCTGTATGATATAGCCTGTCTACTCCCTGGAAAGGATTCAGAATGGCTGCTTGAAAAAATAAGTCCTCCTAAGCAGCATTCACTCTCCACTCTTCCTGGATACGGAATGGCAGAGGCAGGGCCTGAATCATCAGGCAGAGCCATAGCAGCCTTACCACTTTCTCCTCTCTGCCCTCATGCCAACAATGGCTCTGGAGAGCTTGGAAGTGCCAGGAAGACAGAAGTTGACCCCAAGAAACCCCAACCAACCTTCCTCTAGCACACTGCAAATTAATGTCAGGTTTAGGACAAATACTCTGTAGCCGTATGTTTTGGAAGCAATTTTGTTCTCCAAAAGGGGAGGCCCACAGAGGAGGCTTCCAGTACCACATCTAGTTCTTAACAACTAACAGCAAGGGGCTGGAGCAGAGCACCTGTAGTGCAAAAAGCAATACTACTCCAGACTATCCCTGCACATATTACTGCACATCAATCAGAACATCCAGAAATCCCCAGTTGATTCTGCCCCAGGGCTGCTCCTGCACTGCAAAAGAGCTGTGTATCCAGGAACTGGAGTTATTTTGTTGCCATGACATCTTGGATACAACAAAATCCTTCTGTGTTAAAAGTGACAGCTCCAGTCATTAAATCCTATTTTTAAAACTCCTGATCTGATATCTTTTCAGTGCTTACACAATGTGAAAGTGTAGTCACACCTTCTTTATGTTAGAGGCTGCATGGCTAATATCTTTCAAGATTAGCCAAATAAATTCTGCCCTGTCTCTAAGAAGCTTTATTTTCCAAGTTCACTGAGCAGCCATCGCTTTATACACCTCCCAAACAAATCTGCCTTGTCCCTTTCAGAGGAATTCCATCTCAAATAAGTGACGATAGACAGTTAGTGCCTTACTCTCTGCTGTTGTACAAGCTTTAAAGCTGGATATGACAATACAACACAACACTTTGCGTGTACAGTCTGAGTGCTTGAAGGAGGCTGCTTCTGCTGCCTCACTCACTTACACGTTCCTGACTGCGACTCTTACCTCAGGTGATGGTGTGGCATAAGCTGTGTAGGGAGGAGGGGCCGAGGAAATGGCTGTCTCATCATACATCACATCAGATCCCACGTAGCCCTAAACACCATGGAAAGACAGCAGTTATCACCTTTTCCTACAGACTGGCAGCTGCAGTAGTGCAAGGATTAAACTTGAAGACCCCAAAGCAGAAGTAACCTTTAGCCGTGCTGCATGTTAAAAAAGCAGTGAGTACCTTAAAAAGGCTGCAAAAAGAAAGTACTTGGAGAGCAGACCTGGGAGAATACAAATGCCTGATCAATCACAGGAAGGAGCCATAAAATTTCTCCCTCTGTGTGTACACACACAAGCATATGTGTACATGTAAGCACACCAGCTCCTTCCATCATTTCATAAGCTCAGATTTAGAAACTGCCCCCTCGTTCATCCTCTATTTTCAGATAAATAAGTCTTCCCAACTAAGCTGGCTGCATCCTGGCACCCTACAGTGGTATCACCAAGTTCTGCAAGAGCAGATAAAAGCAAAAAATGCAGCAGCCAAAAGTGGCACCTGAGGCAAGAGTGATAACTTACTTGAATCCATCTAGAAGGAGCTCTCAAAGATAATTAAGGTTCTTACAGTACCCTTAGTATTCTTGCCCCTAATATCTGAAACTACAGTGATGCTCTTAGTGCCCTTTCTCAAGACAAAATGCAGCTTCCTTTTTTAATTCACAAGTGAATACTTCAATAACTCAATAGCCAACGTTCTATTGTCTCCTGGACTAATGAAAGGCATTTGAGAGCATACTATGGTTATATCTCAGGTCAAACTTATGGTGCAGATTCTAAGGATTGCTTGAACACGTTAAAATACTCTTTGAAGCGGTGTTTCCGTCACCTGAGGAATCAGCTCACATCTTATCAGTAAAGGTGTCCTGCCACAGGGAGCTCTGTACAGGCAAATGCACAAGCCTGCAAACATCTGTAAATGACACAGTTCTCAAAGCTACAGTCACCCTGCTATTCCAGTTAAGTCAGGAGGCACTGCTGGATGCCTGGAATTTTTGAAAGCTGTGTCAGACACCTACAGATGGGCTCAAACCCAGTTACCTGGTTAGTCAAAGTCCTTGTTGGAGACCTTTAATAGCTTTAAAAAAGTGCTAATTTATGACAGTGCTTGTGCAGAGAGCTACCTGCCCTACTTTGAGTAGCAGGGGCCTGCCTTGGCACTGCCAAGTCCTGAGCCATCTGACAGCTGTGTCAGAGGCATGGAAACAGGAGCTGAAACCAGAAGTCACTGTCTCACACACAGGTGAGATAAAGCCCCTAGAACTAGAGCAGACACTCCACGAGTGCTGTGTCCTCTGCGTGAGGACAAATCCTTCATTTCTCATCTAAGGCCACAGGCAGTGTAGCACGGCTGCAGTCAGAGGCAATTGTGTCCAGGGGAGTCTTGCCATGACAAGTGTTTGCTTTGGGTATCCACAAATCTGAGTTATATCATCTGACAGATGCCTCAGTACAGTGGCAATGTTAATGTGACCCATCAAAAACCGAGATAGGTTTCCACAAAACCCAGCATTTCCCCTGAAACAGAAACACCTCGGGTTGGTTCAGTCTAGCCACTGCAGCGTACTCTGGAAGGCGGTCTAGAGGAAAAACAAGTTAGCAATACCCACAAGTGGGTGGATGTGGTTGCCCAAAGATACAGTTCTCTATAAGACTCACAGAAAGGATTTTATGATTCCTGATCCTCTCCACAGCTAACATGCCAATGCAGAAATAATATATCCTCCTCAGCATGGCTGCACTCCCCTCCAAGCATCTCTTGCTCCTCCCCTAGTCTCTGTCAAGAAGCATCCCAGGGTGTGATGGATGCACATTAACAAGCAGCTGCTGTGCACTAAGCTTCCCTTAGGACTGCACCCACCTGGGAGGCAACAAACACTAGGAGTGGAAAGTGCATTTTTACTGCTTGCGGAAGGCTTACTTGTTGCCTGCAGCCTCATGCCAACTTTTCTTACAGAACAGCTTCACAAACATTCACTTCCAGAGAAATCATTCCCTGAAATCACTCATTTCCACCATGCCTGGACTTAGCTGCAAGGATGACACGTTCTTATGATCCAGAGGATCATTCTGCTCCCCACCTACAAGCTTTACCATCATGCCCATGACCCTGTTTTTCTCTAGCAGAAAAGAACGGAAACACGATTTCAGAAGTAAACTGCTGGACCACACATTACACTGATACACTGTGTCTCTATCATATAAAGTCTAGGTAGGACACTCACAGTGTTTGTTCTGGCATCCTGGAGAGCAATTTTCCATGCCCTGCAAAAAAAACCCCGTTGGTCAGTGGAACAGTGATAAAAATTAATGCCACCTTTTTCTTTTGGCCTATGAAACAAACAAGGTTAGCAAGCAGAGGGACTGCAGAGTTTAAGACACAGCATGTGTCAAAGCCTGATGATACACTAAAATGAATGCACGAGTGTTACACCAAGACTGAGAAATAATTACTTTCTTTGCAGAGGTAAGAATGAGGAGGAACAGGAGAAGGAACGGATGCAGTTTTGAAAGTCCTCACTGCAAGCACAACAGGGAGGAAATGTGCAGTTGTGCTTAGGATAAGAATAGGAAGAGATGCACCAGGGAAGTTGTATCCCCCACCTGAACAGTTCCTCTGTGCTGACTAGAGTGTAGGTCTTGATGCTGTTATTGCAGTTGAACAGGAGGTCCATACCCCTTACACAGATCCTCCCATGCCACAGCCCTGGGAGCAGGCTCAGTGCACCTCACAAACTTGGCAAACACTGGTGATAGCTGTTATCTAACTCCACACAGTCAAGCTCAGCTGAGAGTTCAAAAAAATGGAGTATTCTTCCTTTTGCTACTGACTGGGATGTCCTCGAGCTATGCAGAGTCATATACTACTTGAAGAATGGCACAAGTCTCGCATATTAATTGTATTAATCAGATTCTTCTGCTCCTCCTCATTCTTCAGTGTTTTCAGTGACTTAACTTGCAGTTAGTCTGCATTAGCTAGGCAACTTCTTAAAGGAGAGCAATGGGGTTTTTTGTCATTGAGAGTCTGCTTTTACTTGCTTGAAAACCTTCTTAAAACATGTCTCAAAGTTTGAAGGAAGGAAAATGATTAGAGAGAGAGAGATAAAGAGAGATAAAGGAGAGAAAGGCAGCAGAAACATTATTCTCTGGCAAACTTACAGGCAGTCATCTGCACTCTCAGCACAGAGGTTGACTGTCTTCCCATCACGGCAAACAATCTGCAGTAAACAGTCTCTCTGCTTCCCCTCTGGAGGCTGGAAATCTGAGTCAGAAAAAAGAGAGGAGTTATGAAGTATCTATAACCAGAATCTCATGATCACATTTACAAGAAGGGAGTCAGTTTAAGCAACAACAAAATAAATTAGGGCCAGTTGTAGCTGCCTTCCATGGCATCAGAACAAGGTACAGAAGGAAACAACCTGTTCTTGTTCTTTACAGTGTCCTGAAAGTAAACAGCTCCGAATGCCTTTCCTAAGAAATGCAAGTGTCTTACAGCAGAACCCATCCATACTTAGCTAAAAGTACTCTCTAGCACTTATGTCCTTCCCTTGTGTCAGCATCAAGTGGAGCACTAACAAATGCTAAAAGTGAACTTAGGAAAAAACTCTGCTGAGGTTTCCCATTTCTAGTCCTGCCTCTCACTCGAGCCAGTGCTATGGTTACGCCAGGAACACTCTATAATCGCACTACATAATCACTGCTGTGAACGTGCCATTCTCATCTGCATGCACCATACACTGTCCTCACTGAGTTCTAAGAGGAAGCACCAAACCCTAACCTAACCTATCACACGGTGAAACCATGCCCCGGGTGTCTGTAAAGGAATTTAGGAGTTGGTGGGGTTGGGGTTGTTCAGGGGTGTGGGGGGATTCAAGAACAATGAAGTCCTGCGCTTCTTGGACATGTTTACTTCTGCAGTAGTGCTGTAAATGGTGTGCTGAGCAGGCACTGAAGGTGTAAAGAACCTCTGGATACATAAATCCTGAAGGTTTCATTATTACCTCGACATTCATTCCCCACTCTGAGGTTGATGCAGTGGATTCGCATGTGGATCTTATCTTCTAGATCATGGCGATTTTGATCATCGTAGAATATCAAGCGGCCGTCAGACCACAGATCAAACCAGTTCTTCTTCCAGCGGCGTAAAATAGTACCTTAAAAATCAGACAGTCACTTTTGAGGGCACACATTGGGAAGTATTTGTGTCCTAAAGTTAATAGAAAATAAACCAAGAAATCCTTCACAGTTGTCCCAGACATTCCAAGGTGCCAAGCAAAATCCTCTACTACAACATCCCCACTTGGGAACATTCTAGAATTGGGTTCCATGTTTTACTTAGGATTCAAAGGAAAACTGGGTTTATTTTAAGTGCAAAACCTGACCCTTGAGTTCCAATTTGCTGCAGGAACAAGCAGAGAGCATGACTAATTGAAGACATTAAGTCAGGGTGTCAGGGAAAGTTTCCAAGTCTCCACTTATACAGAGCAGCATCTGAAGCTGAATGCCAGTCAGACATCTCAGATATGGTATATCCTGTTTCCCAGTTGTGTACCCAAAGGTCACATGGGAATGCTGTCATGACAGGTCATTTTGTGACGTGTCCCAGAACTAGGAAAAAAAAACTCCAACCCAGAAACAAAAAAGCCCCACAGAGCTGGAGGCTTGTTTTAAGAAAACCTGGGAATTACTAAGCTCTGATGTTATCTGAAGAAGTCACAGTGGGGAGAAAAGGAGGAGAAAGACCCGTGACTTACTTTGCCGGAGCAGCCATCCGCTCTTCACAAATGCCATTGTTGCTTAATCTAGTGGACAGAAGAGGAAGGTGAGGGGGAGAAAAGCAGTTTTCAGTATTTCACAATAATACATTAGAAAGAGGCATCTCAGTATCACCTATTTTAGCTGCATGTACCCAGCTCACCCTGCAGAGAGACACGGTGGATCTCAGCTGAAGAGACTCAGCAAGGCACAACCAGTATCCGAGGACTTTAGAAACGCGTGAGTGTAGCGATCCAATGGACTGCCAGAGACCACTCTAACTGGAAAATGCACTTGGAGCTACTGCTCTTAGAAAATGGGGAAGAGACAGACTGGAGTGACTGCTTCCTGACTCACCACCAGTTCCTTTCAAAGCTGTTCTCTCCGCATACGTGTACTTCCTGCATTCTCAAGTTACTAAGCACCGTCACTTCTACCCTACCTCTCTTTTTCTGTACTTCCTCTTCTGTGTTTTGCATTCACTGGCTCAAAGTCCAGCCAAAACAAAAGCTGACACAGTTTTATCTCAAACAGGAAGGAGAAAGCGGTTTTTATGACTTGTATTTCTTTCGAATCATCTCTAGCTCCCTCCAAGAAGAATTAAAATAAGTAAAAGTTAAGCCCATAAAGATTCTCATTTCTCCTCAGCTTTCAAATGAAGCCTGAAATGGGATGGCAAGGACTCTGCGTTAAATTCAGGTTATCACGCGTGACATTAAGCACTCAGCCACCACACTCTGGTTTATGAGCATGCTGAAAAAAAGAGATCAAGCATAGGATATATTGGAAAATGAGTTTTTATTTTATAGCCTAATGGCATTCTGATTATTGTTTTAAAATGGATTAATAAAAACTCAACTATCTGGGTGCAATTGAACTAGAAAAGAACAGAAGCATTTTAAGTCTCCCTTGAGAAGGCTGCTTTTTAGAAATTATCTGCGGGGCCTGTAAGCCAGTATGAGAGACAGATACTGGAACCTACCAGATAACACTACTTGTAGCAGCATAAAGTGGGGTGGGGGGTGGAAGGAGGCATAGTAGATTTGATAGACAGGAGAGCTCCTCCCAGACAAAGGAGTGTGTTTAAAGCTGAGGAGGAGGGAGAAAAAGAAGAGAGCTTTGTAATATTCTAGTAAAATGTAAAGTTAGTAAGCATCCAGTTATTTTCCAAGAGATGCATATATCCCATTTACTGGGTATTACTTGGGGCTGTGTCCTCTCCAGAGTACTGGGCAACACTGTAGCACGCAGGACTACAGCCATCAGGATTTCACATTTAAGGAGTGCCATATCCAGCACAAGCTCGGGTGTGATGGTGGGAACCACCTGCAGGTAAACTTTAGACTCCACGATAAACCTCTTACTCCTGGCTTTTGAACCAGCTCACTGGGAAAACAAACATTTAGCTGACAGCCCACTGACATCCTGTCCTGCTTTAATCACTCTCTCCTGCTCTGGGGTCTAAGCAGGCTCTTGTCACTTGTACAGGGAGTGAGCTTTAGAAACAGAGGGCAATTTATCTTCCAAAGTAACAATACGGTACAAAGGACCTGAGTTTCCTCTCCCAGCACCCCAGTATATGATTACAGAGTCTCACAAAGGCTCACACAGAGAATGTCTCAGAGATATCTCGGGCTACAACAGCAAAGGAGGCTTCAGCAGCTGTACAGCACCTTGCATGTAACCTCAGATGCAACAACTACCTTTTCCCAACACAGAATTTAAGTGCCCAAAACTTCAGCTCTGGATAGTGAGCAAGGAATCACACAGAACAATCTGTCAGCACTTAAAGGAGGAGGTGCAAAACAATTAGGTATTCTTCTTGGGTCCTTTTTAAGCACAAAGGCTCACTTGAAGTCCTATACAGTATTCACAGTCCACCCACATGATGTTTAAAAGTGTATTTGCAGAGCTGGAAGTTACCCTGACAAGATCAGATGCATCTGAGTAGTATATACTTGGTAAACTAGCTCAGTGCCACCAAAATGAAAAATGAGATTTAACCAAAGATAGATCAATTTATCACCAACCTCAATAAAAGTGCCTTGGTGACTGAAATAAAAGTGGTAGCGCTCTAAACTGAACTCAAGTTAAGAGTAAATGCAGCAAAGGGGTGGGACTATTCCTTCCTGCTCCCTGGAACAGCAATTTTCTGCACAGAATATAATGTAGAATATCCAAGTCTTTTCGAGTTTCCTTCTTGTTCTCAAACCCAGTTGGCTGGTAGGAAAAACAAACTTGAAAACAAATTAGGTGTTTCTACCTACAGCTTGTAATCACTAGAGCAGTTCTGAACAATGCATTTGAATTAAGAGTGGACCCGATCCTGCAACCCGTGGAGATGGAAAGGGTTTAGCCACAGAGACCTGGCCGTGGAGCTCAGTCCCGGAGACAAGCGGTGCCCACAGACACCTCACTGAGACTTTATTCCCAAACTTCAGGTGGAGCTCACGAAGCTCAGAGGAGTGTTCAAACGTAACCCGCGTCCTCCCCCTTTAAACTGAGCAAGTTTTCTATTTTTGGAGCTCCCTGGCTGCGCACCAGCTGCGCGCAGGCCCTTTCCCCGGGAGCCGTCTGTGCTTTCCGAGCCGGTGCTCGGCACTCCCGGGGCTGCGGCTCCGCTCCAGCCCCGCCCGGGACTCGGCGGGCAGTGCCCGGTCCCCCTCTCCTGTCCCACGGGGCACAGCACCGCGCACAGCCCCCTGGGCCCCGGGACCGCCGGGGCGGCGGCCGCTTGTCCGCGGCTCCGCTCCGTGCCCGCTGGGCTGGGCCGGGCCGGGCTGGGCCGGGCCGGGCCGCGCTGCGCCCAGAGCCGCGTCTCGCCCTCCCCGCTCCCGACGCCGGGCCCCGGCCGCGCTCCCTCTTCCGGCCCGGCCGGCCCCGCTGACCTTCGCGGGGCCCGGGCCGGGCTGAGCCCCCAGAGCCCTCGGGCCGTGCCCGGGCAGCGCCGCTCCCACCCCGCGGCCCCCGGGCGGTGCCGGGTCCCCGCCGCCCCCGCGCCCCCCGTACCTGCCGCCGCCGCCGGCCCCGCTCCGCCCCGGGCAGGCCGGCCCCTCCTGACGTCAGTCGGCCCGCACCGCCCCGGCCGGGCCGCCCCGGCCCCGCTCCCCGCTCCGAGCCCCGGCCGCCGGCGGTGGAACGTGCCCGGCCCCGCGCGGGCACAGCGGGAAGGGCCGGGAAAAGCTCGGATCCAGCGGGGAAGGGCCGGGAAAAGCTCGGATCCAGCGGGGAAGGCCAGGAAAAGCTCGGATCCAGCGGGGAAGGCCAGGAAAAGCTCGGATCCAGCGGGGAAGGCGCGGGGCGGGATGGTGACCCAGTTCCCGCTAATGCCTTTCCCCGCCACGACACGCGGTTTCCCGGCGCTTTAAATGCGTCTCCTCCTGCCCGGGTCACGGCCGGCTCAGTGTCGGCCCCACCGCGCTAAGTCACTCAGGCCTTTCCTTCTCTTCGACATTTTCCGATCCCACGCCATAGCACCACAACAGACAGTGGCAGCCGCTTTGTTGGAGCAGTCACGCAAGTGTTGGAGGTCCGTGACCTCTTACATAAAAAACAGCCACAAACTGCGGCTGGGCGATGCTTGGCAGCTCCACTCTCTTCGGGTCAGTGCTGCCCGCACACTGCTCAGCCTTCGCTGACGGGGAATGCACCGTGCCACTAGTTAACCACCTTCACAATTCAAACTGTGTTTCCATTTCTAACCTAAAGTATATGAGATAGTTGCTGTCTAAAATGAGACAAACTTCTTATGGAGATGTAATACTTCCCCATGATAATTGAACTTCCTATTAGAAATTTCCCCAGCCTCATCCTGGTAATATAGGAGGGAATACCACTCCTATAATCATAGTAAGTAAAAAGAAAAAAGGACCATTAATTTGTTTGCTTCAACCAATCTCTGTTTTATGACTGGATAATACAGAAAAAATGTTCTTCATAGTTACAATTTCACTTAATCTGTCAACAAGCTCCTCTACTTGCTCCTACCCATCTACTATCTCTTCTTGAGCACAACAGCACTTCTAACTAGAAATTACATAGAAAGCCTGTGACACTGTACTTCAAGGCTGTAGTGTAGCCTTTACTTTGATGTATCTTTGAAGGACTAAAAGCAGTGAAGGCAGAACAGGAGGGATAAAGAGAGATCACCTATCTCTGAACAGAACTGCAGGTTTCAGAAAGCACCCGTAAATGAGATTTGTGTAGGTCAAATTCTTTTTATGTAGGAGCCCTTTCTTTGAGGCTAAACCTGTCACCTTTTATTGCTGAAAAAGTATTTTCAGGAACCTGGAGGTATTGGGTTGGAGGTGGAAGGCAAGACAACCTGTACACCGGGGGAGGGAGGAGTTTTCTTCCAGAGCAAAAACTATTCCTCTTGAGGATTTTGGAATCTCAGCAGATCCTCTTCTCGGTGAGCAGTCGCTGGGGACAGCTGCCTTTCTGGCATGTCTTCAAAGCATTGTCTGTCTGGGTTCATATAAAACTTTAGTTTTCAGATTAGGTTTAAAACTATTTTAAAATTCATCAGGAAACTGTTATGGTGTTTCCTGAATGAATTCTCTCCATGGGCACAGAGCATCAAGATTTAGTTTAGTAGCTGTTTGGGACCCCCTCCTATACTATTGCAACCCTGGATACTCAGTTAGGGCTGTGAACCCAGCCTCAGGGCCGTTGCTATGGAAGTTCTGTGCCACACAGGTCCCATCTGAGGCTGCAGGACAGAGGCACAGATCCAGGAAACACCAGATCTTCAGCCTGCCAGAAACTCAGGCATACACTGGAAAGCCATGCAAACATCTCACAGGGTTATCATAGCATTAAATTCTGGGATCTTTTGAATTAAACATCTTGGGCTCTGCATTTGCTCAGAAAACTTTGATCAGGGAGTTTCTAATTAGCTGTGCTGCAGAGCTGAAGGCCTGAGTCTTAGTACCCCGAGCAAAAGAACTAGAATATTTAGGTGAATACTGTTACAACTGGGGATTTTTTTCCAAGCTGTTTACCAGTGAAATGTGGAAGTGAAGGCTTTTGTTCAAATTTTCAGCCTATTTGTAATTGCACCTTCAGTTTGGTGACTTCCAAAGCATGGTGTAAGATTCATCCCTCACTAATAACTTTAAAAAAAATGTTTGGAATGTTTCAGAGTCACCAAGCCCCCTTTTGTAACCCCTCTTTTAACTTTATAAGTTGTAGTTATAGCATACCGGTTAAAATTCAATTGGCAAATTAAATTTCTAAATGCCTAAGAAATAGCTATTTGGAAAAACGTATTTGGAAAAATTGGTAACTTCTAATTCTTTGTCATAATGCAGCTGACAAAATGCATCTCTTCAATACAGGCTAAATTTTGACTGCCATGAACATAAGCATTTGAATTCTCACAGTCATTTGAGGGTCTTCATCACTGAAATTTAAATTTCAAATTCCATACTTTGGTTCATAAAACATAATTAGACTCTAAACCAAGCAGAGTACACATTTGCATTAAGAATAAACAAATTATTTTAAACAAAACACATGCCAGCATTATTAAGTACCGTAATTAATGCTGTCAATAATACTACAACTAATAAAATGTTCAACCGGGCTAAAAAAATCATATTAAGAATCAGCATTGCTTGCAAGATAATGAAGTGAAAAATAGTAAAATCAAGAAAATTGGACCAAACAAGCCTGCTTGCAACAGAAAGATCAGGAGAGCTGCTGTTGGAGAACACCTCCATAAGGAATTCAAAGAATGAGGACTCCAAATGTGGTTATTTATGCATTGATTAGTGTTTCAAAGCTTAAATATG